TCTCGTATTGTCATTCGTATTCAGTTGCATTCATAATCAGGGTCCGGGCCCTTATCAGGAATATGAAAATACATCATACACAAGACCAACATTTATCACCCCCAAATGTTGACACTGTTGCCTTTGGGACAGGGGACTTGGTATGAGAGTCACAACCACACTGCACCGTGACTTGGGGTCGCATTTGCGTCGTGTGTATTTGAAAGCAGTGCTTATTACCCTGTGGCTTGTAGACTTTTAGGCAAAGCGTGTTCGCGTTGAGTGCCAAGGCGCGAGGGACCGTGAAAGGTGTATTGATTGAGGTTAAATGAGGGTGTTAGGGCGTAAACAAAACAAACGACTATAAGGATATGTGCAGTCTCTCTCGGCTGTGGTTCTGGCTGCACGCATTGTCCGGCAGATAAGCTTTGAATAACGAGTATAATGGTTTTCAATTTTAGTGTAATGTTATGCTTTAGATTGAATTTAAGCAATTTTCTGATAATATCTGGGAATAATTATGTGACCATTAAAACGCAGCTTTCAGAAATCGCATATTGTTTCTCAATGATGGAAGTGCTGTACAGTGCATGCAATTTCATAACAACAACATTATTTTAACATTTTTAAATTTTCCACTTCCGTGCATATAGTTTTACAATCTCACGGCTTTTTAGCCGATAATTGTTCTTGTAGTAAAAAAAAAACGATAGATAACATAGAAAATGAAGTAATGTCCACTTATAAATGTATCATTATATTTTGTCTTTTTAAAGACTAATGCATCTCAATACTCATACAGGCATTTGTGAAGAAATTACCACCCAGTTAAAATCTTGGTTATTTATTCCCATATTTAAACATTTTCAGTTGAAGTAATGTCTAAAAAAATATTCTGAGTACCACATTTGTAAATTGTTACTGTATTTTTTTTACAATGATCTTCATGCATGATAAATTATTGCATTATATTAAATGAAAAATACATTCCCTTGTAAGTCATTGTTTATTGTTATTATAACGTTGGTGATAATATAAAAAAAATTAAATTAATCCAAACATTAACCAATGAAAATATTTGGATAAATGAAAGCAAGTGCTTTCAATGCATAGAATAATCCACTGCTGGATGAGAGATGACCCACGCCATGTCTGTAATTGTTTGACCATACTTCACCACACTGGTCAGTCTAGTTTAATCCAGGCGGAGGGGGAAGCGTGACAAATTCACTTATCGCCACTGATGTTAGCCGTGGGCAGCTTGTTGGGTTCGTAGCGCAGTGTGCGAACCAATGTACCCGCTGCTCACTCGTTCTCTCATAGTAAAGTACAATATATTCAAGCGTGCAGCTCAAATAATTCTCATTTCATTACTAACGTGTGATAAAGCAGTCGTGCAAAGAGACCAAACTAACAAGTGAATGTCATTGGATAATGTTCTGTACATTTGAGTGGATGTTATTTTTAAGGTGAAGTAGTGCTTCCATCATCCAATTCATAACTGATAAATAGACCACACATACCATGCCAGAACTATAAGTCCTAGTCTAGCTACATTTATTCTTTCAGCGTGCCTTTCTTGGGGTGAAATGTCACACTTTAACGTGAATTAACAATTTTATCCACATGTAGCAAGTTTGCGAATTAACTATCTTTTTGGCACAGAATTTTGTTTTATTGTTAGTTTTATGGAAACATGAATTGCGTGTTTGCACTGGAATGTTATCTCGAGCCTTGGCTAATAAATGTCTAAACAAGACGTTGCATCTCGACTCTGGAGCCTGGGAAAAATATTGTAAGATGAATTAATTTACGAATGCATTATTTATCTTGTAATACATACTGTACTGTATATACATTTGAAAGTGAATGCTGTCATGTTGTAATGGCTGGACTTGCAATGCAGAAATCGGCAGTTCGATCTAAACTTGTGCATTCATCATTATCTAAGAATATGTGGAGTATTCCAGCAAGTTTTAAATTCAGTGCAATACATTTCGTTCGTGATACTACAGTGTCATGGTTAGCAGTACACTGGGCTTGCAATACAGAGGTCGCCAGTTTCAATCTCCTGGTGCAGCAGTTGAACGTTTGGTCAAATTGATGAAGTCTCCCCCATCCACCCCCTTCCCGCCTCGGACCGCCCAGCTGTACGAATGGGTTCACCTTAGTCGATTGGCAGATCATGTGTGGTGTAGTACTCCCACCACTTACAAGTCACCTGGCTAGGCCCTTCAGCCGGCAGTGGTGTCAGCAAGTTAATGCAGGGGCTCTACTTAAACCTGATCCTCTTGGTATGAAATCACACATGGGGGGGTGGAATTTTATTTGGGGGACTTTTACAAGCAAGGGGCAAAATATATACTGCTTACATATACTCTGTTTACAAATGCACGTGAACAGAAACATAAGAGCATGAATAAATACTTAAGGTCATTTGACTATACAGTACAAATAAAAACAACTTTAAGAAATGGTTTTATTATTCATTTCGTTAGCCATGCACACAAATAAAAAAAATGTTACACGGCTATCTATTTTTGATTGCTTAACCAAAAGCCTAATGTACGTATTCGTGAGTGAACATCTCACACCTGTGTGTCTAGACTGAATTTTACCATTTGCATGTCTTATTCTATCTTCGCTGATATATCCGTGAGCGTTTCTGCTTTCTTTGTGAATTTTCTCTCATCTTGTGTTCTGTTCAGACTCAACAGATGGTTAAAAACCATCACTGTGCCCTGCTGGCTTTTTACTTTAAGGAGTGCAAATGTTTGTCTTTCCAACATGCGCCCATTAAAAATATTGGGGGAATGCAGCCAGAGTTGAGCACAGGTCATGAGAAAATGAGCTTGTGACAAAAAGGGCACACACATTCCTCTGCATATCGTGCCTTTGATGGCTGCAACAGTTACCAAGTAAATAACGCATATTAGTGCAGTAAAATGTGGATGTATAAAAATGGTCCATCAGATGGGAATGTTTACGTTTTGTACATCTTCACTATGATCTGGGATCTTGGTAGGACAATTTCAATATTGGGTGGATACACTATACCCACGTGGCCATGACACTTTGTGTGTTATGTGTTTCCTATTTGCTGCATTGATCTAGGATTCTTAATCTGATTATACAGAGTGATATGTACCGTATATAGTGTGTGGGCATGTGGCCATGTGGGGAACGGCGACAGGGTGGTTAGCACACGGTGCTACGAATCCAGCTTTCCGAGTTTGATTCCTGGCAAAGGATAACATCAGTGGCGACTATCTGAGACGTTTTGGATTTCCCCTATGTCGACTCGGCTATAAATGACGACCTGGTGCAATGTGTGAAGATCAATACTGGGGAGACAAAGGCGGCCAGGCCTGGCATTGACCACACCAACCCCTCATGGGCCATTCCAGCCTTCATAATATGTGCTTCGTTTCCAGCACTTATCCAAACAGTCTGAAATGGTTATACGGGAGATTTGTTTTGTCGTTGTGTTCATAACGTGTCAGTGTATCTTCATGCACTGCGTGTCTTGGTCCAGGTAGGGTGGAGTGCTTCGGATTAAGGTCGGGTACGGGGTCACTTTGTCCAGGGATTTCCTGGCCTGGATGGGTTTCAAACTTCCAAGCGAAACACTGCATGCTATCTGCCTGCACGAGTCGGTGTCCAATGTTCCGAGCTCTGAGGACAGGAAGGCCAGCTGTGCCGCAATAACATTTTCAGTTTCCCAGGCCCTGGCCGCTGACTGCCCGTTTCCTTTCCCAGATGTTCTTGTCAAATGTTCCTTTGCGCGAGTGCAAGGGGTTGGACGGAGAAGAATCCAGACATAGAGCAGCGCTTGAAACGATTCAAAGTAGAGCTGACACTTTTTCATCATTATTCATTAGGGTTTCTTGCCTTACCACTTGATCAGAATGCAGTGTTGGTATTTGAATTCATAGCTCAATGATTAATATGGATTACACATATTACTTTTCATTTCTACTGAAAGCCAATATGGAATACATTTAATTTGATTGGAATTTTTATTTTTAGCAGCATTCGCTTCACAATACAACAACAAATATCATTGAAACCTGAATTATTTGTGTTATTTTGCTCCGAGTAATGGAGAAATATTAGCATGCTATAAATAGTCACCTGATACTTTGATTTGTCTTTTTTTGTGACAATTCAGTTAACAGCCTCTGCTTAATGTTGGGCAACTTAACACCCCTTGACATCTCCTATTTGGTGATAAATAGAGAATAATCATCGTCAGTCACTCAGTATGAAGGCTGAAGCTTTTTTATCCTATTAGTCTTTAATGAATGTATTTTCATTTACACCTAACTTTATGGGTGTGTGCACTTGTTATCCAGTATGCTGAGATATGCACTGTATTTATATATGTGGATTTGTAACTCAATACAATAATATTATAATTACTCATCAATGATTATATATAAACAGGAAAAATCCATTAATCTCTGTCACAGCTCTGGAATCACTCCACAATTTCTACATGAGCGTTGGCCAATAACCACAATGTTTCTCCCAAGGTCCTTGCTTTAGATGAATTAGTTCATAAAAAAATGATCTCTATGTGACCTTGCACTGAGCTACACAATAGTATATTACTTCCGTGAACACAAAACCTATATTGTTCCCAAGCTGTTGTGAAAAGTGCTGTAAGCGAGCGCCTATGAAGGCCAGCACAGCACACGAGGGAGTGGCATGGCCAGCGCCATGCACAGCCGCTTTTGTCCACCAATTGCTGACGTTTACACACCGCACCAGTTACTCGTTTAAGGCCGAGTAAACCGAGCGGAGGTCCAGCCTCCGGTGCAGGTATTCATCGCTGGGGTGTGGCACACACAAACTCCACGGACCACGTCCTAGAACTCAGGGCTCTTCCTGTATGTAGAGGAGGGAAAAACATTGGGCTCATTGCCCCCACCTGATGGGAGGGCCGCGAGCGGGAACATGGATTTCTATAAGAATTGTCTTGTCAATTTAATAGTGGTGTCCCTGCCTCTCTGTTTCAGATGGCCGAGGGCCGGCGATGCCACGTTCACCTGTTGGACGGCCGTATGTTGGAGCTGCTGGTGCAGGTAAACGTCGCCCACAACACTGTTCGTACAGAATCTGAATATTTTTTTTTTATACTGGAGGAATCCGATGAGCTATGAAGCTCTTTTTCACAGATGTCCAGAATGTTACCTGGGCACACAAATCGGGGCCAATCTTGCCGTGCACCCAGCTACTGTGGAGATTGGCTACTATGGGAATCCGCACTCTCCTTATTTGCAGAATCGCTGTTGAGCTGAAATGTGTTATCGTCCGTGAAATGGGCATGCCAAAAATAACGGTAAACAAATAGAGTCGAATACATTGTCCTTATGCAGTGTATATGAAGACAGTTGTCAAGGGAGGTGGTTTAAATGTGTTGGCACAATATTCGCACACAAAATTGACATTGCTTAACTTCTCAGTTGGTACAGCATTTTCTTTGACAAATATTTTTGTGATTATGGTTGCTTACATGGAGATGTGGATTAGTAATATATTTAGTACTTGGTTCATGTTACTTTTTCCAATATTAGACAATTGTGTTCTTATGCAAACTACAGTAAATGTATTTTCGTTTGCATCGTGTTCGCATTTATTACATATTCAATCGTTTTTCAACAGTGTCTAAAACCTCATGTGAGAGCATGTTTATTTTAACAAATATAGACTGCAAAAATAAACGGAAATATATATATTTTTTCTCTAAAATTATGCAGATACATATTTTGAATAGAATGTTTTAAAAAAACAGAGGACTTGCATCTTCCTTAAAGAGGATCATAGGTGGTACGTGTCCAGATGTGATTGTACACCGTCCTAAGACACGACAGCGGCGAGATGTTAACTCCCTCACCGGGTATACAGGAGGTCATTCGTTCGATCCTAACCCTGACGCCTGTATATTTGGAGTTTGCATGTTCTTCCCTTGGCCGCGTGGATTTTCCTCTAGCTACTCCAGTTTTTCCTTCCACATTTAGAAACATGTGTTTAGAGTATTTCACTGCACTAATATTTTGAACGTGATACGCTACTTCGTTGAGCTATCATTTGTGGCGAGGTCCCTTCTGAAAAAGAGATATATAGTTCAGTGGGCCTTACCTGGTGAAAAAAAGTATAGTTTTATCATTTTAATAGGTGACATATTTGGAAGAAAAAACACTTTCTCTGCCTTTTTCTTTCGTCTCAATGCTCCAAATATAGAATCCCTTTTCTTTACCCCCTGGTGAAATTCAAAAATAAATCCTGCTCATGTTTGGTTTGTCACCAGAATTTCAAAAGCTTTTGGGGTTTGAGTCAAAAAATGTTAGAGGAGCTTACTCCGTGGGAAAGGACTGACTTCAGAAGAAAGATCTAAACGGGGCACGTGCATTTCCCTGTTTACCTTTCCTGCCAAATAAGACCCACCTGCCGAATGGTACGTGTGGTTTTGAGGTCCGTTTGTAGAGCCCCCCCCCACACACACGTGGTTAAGGAAACAAGACGACCAGATAGGTAACCTTAACATGCACAAGTCCCGGAGGCAATGACCGTTGTGAAATAGAGCGTTTGGTCAAGGTCGCGCACACTCGCCAGAGAGTGATGTTTATTATATTTTATGTATAAATACATAAGGAATGTTATCTTCGTGGATTTGTTCATTAATACACAGCATCTCATTCTCATTATTTGCGTGAGAATTTGGCAGAACATGTATGACCCATGGAAATGCGCCGTATGGGATGCGACTGTTGAACCTGTGCCTGACGAATGTGCACGTATACAGCGTGTTATTTTGTGGAAAGGGCATATTTCAGTTGTAATTTCCTTAGTCCACAAGCAGTAAATGATTACCTGCCTGGTGAACTGAAATTGGACAAAATAGGCATTATAGCAGCTGGTTAAATATTGTGTGATGGTCGTTTCCATTACTTATTATTTCGAGTGCCATGTTTGCAATCTCATACTTTAAGGCGATACACAAATAAATATTAACATATAATAGCTGATCTTAAAGTGACCCATGGGCCTTTTATATTTCAATAGTTTATTGCTTAATAAAGGAGAAATTCAAGTTAACGCTAAGCCAGCGGAATTTTGTAGTTCATTTAACCACCATATAATGCTCGTGGGCCATACTTTTATTCCAGCTTTTGGCAGGAAATTAGTACAAGTTTCTGCAAAATAGTAAACAACGTTAAACACCAGACCAACTTTATGTGCCAGCCCAAAAAATGTAATTTAAACATCAAGTTCTCCTTGTTCCATTTTTAACATATATCACATGTGAATATTAGATTGTCATAACTTTTTAGCTGTAGTGTTTTTTTTACGTGATATCATCCTTGGGGGGAGGGGAGTGCTGTAGTGTAATGGTTAGCACACTGGAATTGCAATCCAGAGATCACTGCTTTGATTTCCCAGTAGGGCAGTTAAAACAATGGTGCAAGTTATATATATATTTTAATCAGTATAAATGGGTTCACCACAGTTTGTGTATGGGCCGGTTGCGTGTGGAGGAGCAAAGTTTGGGCAATTCCACCATTTCTAATAGGTCTGGCCAGTGTGAAAGAGTCGGGTCAAACATTCTCTCCAGAGCTCTCCCTCATTGAGGCTCTTCTGCCAGCAGTGGCATAAACAACTAACTGCAGGGCTGCACTTTTTCCTTGGCTTTTATACGTTCTCCTTGTTATGTCCTAATAAAAAAAACCTAATATATGAATGTATTATGTAGTGTGCAAAAGATAAGTATGGGAAACAGATCGGAAAAATATAACATCATTGTTCACTACCCGCTTTGAGCACAGCAATTCGCCCCTGTAGTATTATCTCTGACAACATCGGTACTTTGTTCTTTAAAATGTTGGTCTCCCATTAATCAGTTATCTTGTGCTTGTGAAATATTTTAACGAGGAAACTTGCTTCGAAAATAAACGATAAATCTGCTTTCAACGTTAGTTTGTAAAATAATGTTATATTGCCATAAATTTGAAACAAAATTGAACATGTCACCTGCTAAATGTTAGCTTTGAGTTTTAACAAGTTTTTGTCACGTCTTACGTTTTATTAATGGCACACGTGTGAATTATTTGTCAGCACAAATTAAACAATGCTGGAAATAGCATTGCAAATGAGCTTTCCATAGACTTTACAAACAAGCAGAGCCACTTCCAATGCCATGTGCGGGGAAGAAGAGTGTAAAGTTCACAATAGAGTTCACATTTTCTGGATTGGCAATGTTTTTGTTGACAAACTTGAAAGCCCTGTTTGGATTACACGGTACTCAGTGGGATTATTATCATATTTACTAGCAGGGAAACACTGTTTTCAATGTTTCCCACGTGCCACACCTATTGCCTCAGGTAAACCAATATTCTCATTTAATACACAATACTGTATTATGTAATACTAATTGATTGTAATTTCGGTTCGTGACATTGTTGGCGTGGCTCATTACGATGTGTATTTGTTTCACGATTCTGCGTGCAGGATCTACATGAGCGCGACTTATTCGCTCATTCATGGGGTGGCTGTTACAATGAGAATGATTTGCCCCTATTTTTTCTCTTGTTGGCACTGTGAGAAGTCTGCGCGTCCACATGATCCCGGTGGTTATTTCCACCGGTTCTGCAGTCAAACACAGCCTCGCCTGGGAGTGGGTGCAGCAGCTCAGCACCGTTGGGCATCTGCTCAGGGGTGCGTGCCGACCTCGGAACTGCACGGAGAGCGCCACATGTTGGGTCTCTGCGACTCCACTCATCATGGCCATTATGCGTTGCAGCCCTTTTGAGACGATTATTAATCCGCAAAGTGAATTTTAAACAAGGCAGCGGCTCTGCTTGTGTGTGTCTGCAAATGTCGGGGAGGCGTCGAGCACTGGTTAGCGCTGTGCTACGAACCAGGCGACCCTGTGTTCAATTCCCACTCACTGCCAACAGCGGCGCTCCCCTAGGTTGGCTCAGCCTTCAATGAGTACCTGGCGCAGTATGTAAAGCTCAGCACTGGAGAGACAATGGCGAACCACACCATCCTTTTGTCGTCATAGGTGCTCGCTAACAGCACTTGCCCCAACAGCCTATGGAGGTTATACAGATGCATTTTGTGTTCGTGAAAATATGATGCAAAGCGGTTCAATCAATAATTTGCTTTGCAAAAAAAACGATTAAAAGGGAAAACAATCTTCAGATTAGTTATTGACTTATCATCTTTTCAATTGAATTACATTGGAATTTTAATTATCATAATTGATTACCGTTGATTTGTGCAACGCATGATTTTGCTTTGTGACATTGCATGTTGTATGGAAACTATTTAAGCATGAGTGATCGTTTATAAAGCCCCGTTGGTCAATGCCCTGCTGTGTGACAGCCTTCACTCCACGCCTTGCGCACCACGGCGGACACTTGACTGTGTTTCACCACGCACTTCAGTCTGGGTTGTTGAAGGTGGGAAAGTGCTCAACAACTGTGGATTTTGCTGCACTACTCGATACCTTTATTCCCTATGCAGCAGAACTTTGCAGCAGAACTGTGCAAACCGGGTATCAATGCCAATCACTTTTGCAAACAGGGAATTGTGTACACATCCGCAACTAAAAATATCGACTGCAATATTTATCTCTTGGATTACACGGCTGCTAAATGCTGCAAGGCTTCGTATATATTTTTTTCCCCTGCCAAAGGAAGTATTTAATATGTATATGCCTCTTGCAAGTTTTAATTAGTGGAAACCTCTGCGGTTTACAGATAGTCCGTTTTTTTCAGATTACCTTGAGCAAATTTTGAAACACAATGGTAGGCCCACAGTAAAGTACATTTGTATATTACATTCTGTATATTAAAAAAAATCGTACAAAGGCAAACCAATTTTTTAGTTTTCATTTTTTGCCGAATCGGCAGGGTGCAGTTGTTGGGGATAAGCTTTATCTCGGCGCGGGCTGTCGCACACGATTGCCTATTCTCGCACGGCTGTCACGTGTGGTAGACACGTCAGAAAGCTGTGCATAATCGGGTGTAATGAAGTGTGTGATTGTGTGCCTGGGGAGATTCGGCCAAGACTTGGATGA